TGTTTACCGCTCCGATATTGCTATTCCGTAAGACGATTTACTAAAATTGACTACTTTTTAAGCTCTCTGATCTTCACCTACCATCGGAGCAAAGATGAGGCTGGGATAACTGGCGCCACTATTCGTATTAATGCTTGGAATCCAGATCTAATCCTGCCCAGACCAACCGAACTCCCCATCTGACTAAGTGCTTGATTACCCAGGAATGTTGCATATCAGCTGGTTCCATGTATTGAATATGCAGTGACCGTGCAGCATGTTTTTGCTGACTGTGCTAGCTAGTTGTCTCGCTGCTCGATGGATGTCTCATTTCAAAATTTCAAGTCATCGCTCCTTCCATGGTAGAGTATACTCGCAATTAACTCTCTGTCACCGCCACAAGCATCAACATCGCTCCTATTTATTACGTTTTATTTATTTTTATATTTTATGTTTCCTATTTGCCATAATTGTCGTCACCTGAAGAGAACCTTCAAAAGTAGTGTGCAACTCGTTTCCGGCCCATGCAAAACAGTGATTGGTCCTGTTGGGTGAAGCTCCGATTCGGCCAATTATTACTCAGTATGGGCCTCTCCAAAGACGGAGGTGGTGTAGTAGCTAATGACGCATTTCCACACGCATTTTCACGAGTTCGAATCCCGAATCGATATCCGCTCGGGCAAACCAAGCCTTCCAACCTTCGGGGTCGGTAAATTGGTGCGGATAAAAACACTGACTCGTACATCGGCTGACCACCGCAAATCATTGCATAGGCCACATACGCATGCAATACGCCACTACGATTCTGAGTGGAAGTTGAACGCGTGGGCGCATCTCTCAGACGGAATCGATTGACATCCCAAGACTTTATCCCTATTCCTTTTGATAAATAAATGAATAATAAAGCTAAACGAGCGCAATAATATAAATACGAATATTTACAAGTGTAACAATGTTGTAAACAATTATAAAACTGTGATAAAGCAAGTGACCCAGCTAAGAAACGAAGAAGAAATTGAGAAGGAACGCAAAAAGACTTAGATGGATACATTTTGCTCCCACGGCGATCATTCTTTTTGATATTCTGCGGGGCTTTAATGAACAGTGCATTGGAATCAGCAGCAATACAGGGAAGTCGAGAATGATATCGACCAGAAATACCTCTTTAAATATGGCTGTGAATTCTTCTAGATCTTTGTGCTTGACTAGCCTCGATATGGTTCAATCTGCAGATAATAACCTTGTTGACGGCGCTACTCACCACCTCGCACATTTGCCCAGTCAATTGATAGCTTGCAAGTGTGGGCTCCCCAACCTTTTCTATTTTATCCGCCAGTCAATGCTTTGAGAACAACATTTTTGAAAGCTGTTCAAATTTTCTTCGATATTTGTTCACGATGATCGAAAGAAGCGCAGTCCACCGTGCTTCAGGGTGAGTCGAGTAGCCCAGGTAAGGCTACTGGTAAAATCATTCGCTGGTCTAGCTAGTTGTCACCTTTTGAATCTATCTATGGCATCGTCTGCAGTTTCCATGATTACAGAGAACAACTTCTTGACCCGTTCATCCGCCCTCCCTTAAGATCCTAGCTCCCTTCGGATTGCTGTAAATTCCTGTGCTTTCACAAGTGTGCCATATCTCAAAATCGAAGTCCCTATTGACAGAGAGAAGGTCCATCTATGGTGACTTACACCACATGGACTGCGACTCCAACAGGAACCGTGGAAGTGTAGACGTATATCCTTCAGATTGCTGCAAATTCCTGTGCTTTCACAAGTGTGCCATACTCTCGAAATTGGTGTCCCTATTGACATAGAGAAGGTCCGTCTATGGAGACTTACACTACATGGACTGAGACTCCTGCAGTAACCCTGACAGCGTACACGTATATCTGTGTCCTATAAATTTCTGTGCATTAGGAAGTCGATGTTCAACGCGATGACAGGTGATAGAGGTGAAAGATCTCAATGCGCTAAGACCTTGTTCGCCTCTTATCCAGTAGGCCTCACATTTAAACATCCATTTTTTCCCTTTTGTGTTCTCCCACTACTCGTGGAAACCCTACGCGAACCTTATGTATACCGTCATTTCGTCCTTACCCTGTTTTTCTGTTATCCAGTGGATACTATATGAGAACCTTATATGTACATTCACACCATCGCCACCGTGATCACCCTTTATTCAATGTATTATTATACCAGTTGGGCTACGCGCGCTAATGCGTGCACCATATGCCCACTGCCGCTTATATACGACTTGTTAGAGGACGAATATGAACAGTATCGGTTGGTTTGCCATTTTACAACTGTTTCTTCACCGCGCTCACTTGACATTCACCCTCTTCGTCGTATCTACGGGATTTTCGGAAGGATGCACAAACGGGCATACAAACGGACGCACAAAGTTACCGCTTTATATACAAAGACAGTGGAGCCGCCCGGCTAACGCCGGGCTCTCCTCCTTCTTATGATAGAGTCGTGATAAACGGCAAACAGCACACTCCTTTTTTGAAACGAATGTTACTTTTCGGAACACGAAGTTCGATAGAGGAACAATAGGGCATGCAAACGATATTCAAAATACGAAAAAACGATATTCAGTGCCGTTGCCTATGCCTTTGATTAGAATCGTGTGACAATGTCTGTCTCGATCTGTTGCTGCTGATGTTAAAAATGTCTTTCTCGATCTGCCGCTGTTGGTGTTACAAATAATGACCCATTGAGAATTTAACTGGTAGGCATCCAAACCCTTGAATGGTACTCACAAATGTTGTCGAGTCATAATAATACCATTATCAAATGTCTTTATGAATGTAGCCCCTTTTATCTACTGATACATCTTTAAAAGATAATCCGAGATTGTTAGCGGTCGGATAAGTTTGCCATGAATGAATATCAAAGAGTAACCGTGATCCTTCATTGAATCGCATACTCTGCTGGGTAGCGGTCGTAAGCAAGAAGTGAACCTGGTTTCATAATCGGCCCATCGGTGCACTTACCCTTCTTGTCAATTGGAGCATATCGAAGAATCAAAGCTAGATCGTAAGTAACGGAGGAATCCGATCCTACTACCCACCATAAGTGTTCGCACACTGCCTCCTGTCTTCCTGCCAAGTTTGATCGCCTTGGAGCCAATTCGCGCACACACCGCTTTCTATGAGTGGAGTCCGGTCCTCCCACCTACCATAAGTGTTCCCATCCAGCCACCTCCTGCCAAGTTGAACACACTAGGGCTGAATTGGAATTATTGGAGCAAACACCGCCCCTTGTGGCCCGATCCTGCCACCCACCATTAGTGTTCCCATCCCGCCTCCGATACTCTTACCAAATTTGAACATTGTAGGTTCACTGAGATAGGAATTATTATTTTCCGCTCGAACATTTATCTCGCACAAACTCGCCCTGTGGTCGGAGTCCAGTCCTGCCACCCATCATATGTGTTCCCATCCTGCCGCCTGCGCTCCTACCAAATTTGAACGTCCTAGGTCCACGGGGACAGGAGTTATGAACTTCCGTAGAAACAGACAGACGGACGGACGGACAGACAGACGCGAGCGCTTTATATAAAGTAGGGATAGTTGTCCAGGTTGCTGTCAGCAAAAGTCTGGCTAATCAACAGTATTTTCATCGACACCCAATTTTTATGCATGTTGGCAGCTTCTCTGCAGAATTTAAACGCCTCAGGCCCAAATTAAATTCTTTGCGGAAGCCCCCTCCCCCACAGTGGGAGATTCCAATTTTCTCTACGCCTGCCACCTGCCATTAGTTTTCCCATCTTGCAGCCTGCACCTCTGCCAAATCTGAACGCCCCAGGCTCAAATTGACTACTTTTTAGGAAGCCCCACCACCAGTAGGCGGAGCATGCACCTGCCACCTACCATTGGTTTTCCCATCTTGCCAGCTACATCTCTGCCGAATTTGAATATTCGAGGCTCAGGATTTACATAGAGTTACAGATTTCTGGTGAACTACACTCGCGCAAGCCCCGCTCCTAGTGGGCGGAGCCTAGCTTAGGTCACGTGTACCTAAGGAGTTCGGCTCATTCCCCACTTGTTCCAACCTGTCTGAGCTGTTCAATTTGATTTCCAAACGACGCCNTATAAGATAGTTACAGTGAAACAGGCAAACAAACATACAGGTAAACAGAAAAACGGGGCATTCAGTGTGCACCGTGTATGGGTCTCACTCCACAGCAATCGGGTGGGTAGCCAGTTTTTTACTCGACTCACAGACCTGCGGCCGCATGAGGAGGTCATGAAAGTTGACTTAAAAAGAGCAGTTCGATTGAACTCTTCCCATTTCCAAGCGAAAACAATCGATAGAGACTTGTTTCTTAAACAACAGTCTTATGGTGTGACGGAACACTAGCACCGTGCTGTGTACCCATTGCTCTGCACATCGTTTCACCGAACTCGCCCTCTTGGTCTTCGTAAACAAACCCTAGCAGAAAATTCTTGGTATCCTAGTCGGCTAGAGAGATCCTTTCTCAATGCTCATGAAATCGGCTGCGTGCACAACTGTTGAATGAACTTGTGACGCCAATGCCAAACCGTCCTTTTAAACACATCTAAAACTGTTGGAACCAGAAAAAAACCGGTCACATTGACTTCATAGGTGCTCTTTGATTTTTAAATGCATAGCAATCATGAATCGGGGCTGATGGCAATATTTCTTCCATGATTTTTTATTATTAGTGAAGACCAGAGTCAAACAACTTTAATGAACAGGTTGATTTGGTAGCTGCTCTTTCTGTCTGTTATCGTGGATTGCTACTCGCTGAAGCCCATTTTTTCTTCTTCGATTTGTCATTTCTTTCTCTTATGTACGGGTGCAGTGGTAACTATGATCGTAAAAACGGTCAAATCGATCGATACATGATGAAACCCCAACAGAATTTATCAACAGCTATATAAATCACAAAAACAAAATAGATCCCGAAATAGCCTCCTTTTGCGCGAATACAGGCTGAAAGTTTCCTAGGAAATGCCTTGACGGCGGCACGGAGGTAGTCTTCGCTCAAATCCCTATGCTTCAACGAGGGTTGCACGTAGAGCATCCAAACTTCTACGCCTAGTGGAGCAGGCTTTCTCCTTAAGAACTGACAACATGGAGTATTCCATTGCATTTGGGCCTGGACTGTTTGGGGCCAATCGTCCGGCGAGATGAAGTCTGTGAAGTGTGTTGCACACCAGTCCTGTACCACTTTGGACCTGTATTCTGGAGCTGAGTCCTGTTCATAAGTCCACTCCGGTTGCCGAAGCTGGATTCTATCCAGGAGAATACCTCCTTCTCCAACCCGCCTTTTAAGTAGGTCTTGCTATCCAACTTGACCTCTTTCTCCAAGAAAATCAGGGGCATCTTGCCGGCCGATGTGATTGCCCCAAAACCCATCAACGACTTGTAGTGTACGGATCGCTGAGCAGTCCCTCCATGTTGGCTGGTATCTGCAGGGCTTCCCGCTATCACCCCATAGTTTTGGGTGTACAGGCATTGATCTGTTGAAAACAGACATTCGTCAGTGAAAAGGATGTTGTTGTGCCGTGCCTACGAAAATCGCTTTGAAAGCTCCCCACATCTTTGTAGCCTAGTTTTCTTCATAGGCTCAGTCAGTACGTGAGCTTTTCTGATCTTATAAGAACGAAGTCGAAGGTGGCTGGTGACAGTGCTTCCAACAGATCAAGCAAAAATACCCATCTCAATAGCCACTTTTCTCTCGGATCTACGAGGGTGGCGGCGAATTTTCTCTCGAATGATTTTCACGATCTCCTTTGCCGTTGCACTCTTCAGTCTTCCACTTTTGGGCTTGTCCTCCGTCACTCCCTGTCATCTTGTACCTGTTGACGTAATTGTACACGGTTCCTAAGGGAAGCTGGAGCTGTTTGAAGATGGTCTTTGCCGTGCTTTCGGCCAGATAGAGGTAAAGGATGGAGGCACGTTGATCTTTTCTTATCACCATTCTATAAAATGGCATATTCAAGAACGGCCAATTTATGGAGTGTATAGGGGAAGGGGACTTGCAGTAAACAGTAGCATAGATTCTGTCGAGATCGGAGGCCTCATCTTTTGTAGAGGATCTGAAACGGGCCTTCGCCAGAACTTTTGCCGCACCATATCCAAAGAAGAACTGTTCATAGCAACTTTCAGCGTGATAAGTAACACAATCAAAGAAGTGGAAAGATTGGATTATGTAAGAGAAAGAATTTATTTGGTTCGTAATTTTTCCGGGTCACATGGGGAGTCATGTTGCAATTACACCGACAGTTCGGTCATCCCTGATGACAACCCATAGACCTGATAACATCAGAATTCACGTAACTCCCAAAAAACAGCATAATGGAGACGAAAACGTTCTAGAATGACAACTCTAAGTAGCAATCTCAATCGTTGATTACATATGAGTAACACACAACCATGTAACGATAATTGCCTGTATTTTACGATAGAGTCTTTGCCCTGTACGGGAGGAGGGTTATTAATGAATCATTACAGAATATTTCATTCTTATATTCACTCCAAAGCCCTCTTAACCTGGCCACTACGTTGTGGTCTTCCCCTTCCTCTGCTTCCTACGAAGAATATACCCAGAATTTAGTGATTAGGGAATTACAAAAAACGTGCTTTTGAATAGGTTTTTGCAAAGAGATTATTTGCATATTTTCTGAATCGAACGTCTCTTCTTTCTTTTATCGTAAATTGGACTAATCCTCCAAGAAGTGGTGTTGATAACAAAAACAGAAAAATACTAGCCAACTACAAACGTCAAAGGCAATGGTGAATTACCTATTGGTTCTTTTCTTAAATCATTTTCTTCTGTTTAACGTGCGGTGAAGTTTTACATTTCAGAAGTATTATTCGATTGTACTTTGCGCTTGTCTATGCCGAATATCTGAAGCGTCAGAGGCAGATGTACTTGGTTAGTCCTCACTTTAGTACTTCCTACACAGCCTTCAAAGCCTTCAGGAACGTTTTTATGAACATTGGTCTGTTACAGCAGCATTAAAAGCTCAACAGATCCCAGAGGAAGCTCAGACGCTGAGCGGTGAACCGCTAGTCGAATATCTCAACAAGAATCAAAACCTTTTCGAGGAAAGTCATCCTCCACTGATTCTTCTTACAAGAGTTGAAACAAAAAACTCTCTTACAGGCTGCTATAACACCAGTTAGCCATGGCTACAAGCACAAACTTATGGATTTGAAATTCATCGGTCAGAAACGGAACATTGTTGTAGAAGACGAAAAAGACTTTGGAGACGATATACCAGAAAGGTCGGAATCGAATCATACTGAATTCCTCCAAAAACCTTATTTTGTCAGAACTACATATTGCAGCCTTTTAAAACATGCCCTCAAAATCATAAGATGATGGAACAGGCGACGTCAAAAGGTGTTCGCATCAGTCGATACTAACACAACCAGAGACCCTTTAGAGCGTCTTACTAGCGAGCGCTCTTACTTGGAAAACTCTTGACTTGAAAAAAAAAGGAAAAAAAGGATGGAAGCTTAACATAACCTTATCCATCACAATGTCCAAATGCCAAATCAAAGCTTAGTTTTCCTTAGACATGCCTCTGCTATCAATTCCAGTTGAAATAGCAGTCAAAGCAACAGAAACATGAGTTAACCCAGTTTGGGAACAAAAAGCAACAGAAACATGAGTTAACCCAGTTTGGGAACAACTATTACACTTGGCGACTAGAAAAGCAAGAGCATCAGCTGTAAATCAGCTGGACTAGAATGTCGTTGGCTTGTTATTTACACCAGCGTAAGTCTTAGCAAGTGTATAGGTCAAGCTCGAATCGCTTACTGTATAGATCAAGAACGAATGAGGGCTGTATTAAACCTATTGTTACATGAGTACCAGGTCCGTCTTGGAATGCGCGGACGCATCCCAGAATGGGCTGGGTGCTGGCTGGACGCTTTGACAACTAAGCCTGTGTAGAGTTGTTGTTATAAGTTGTTATAAGAGAAATTAGACAACACCACTTCTGGTTCATCCACAGCAACTGATTCACATTTACAGCTTCGATGGACGAGTTCATTGGGCCAACTGTTCTTCACTCTGGTACATACCGGATCAGGCAAACTGTGGTAGGTAGAGACTACTCCAGGTTTCAAGACGCTATCTGCACAGAACTGCACAGAATTGACTTTAGACAGGAGCCACAATATTTCAGGTTCATGTTGGGCAGTCGCGTCTGCAGCTGCTATGTCAGACCGTCTTTGTATTGCTTCCAAAGGAGCAAAGCAGGTATAACTCGATCCTTCAATGCCATGGACTTCAATTTCACTTCTAGACGGTGAATAATATTCCAGGTGCAACTGTCAGCCAACGACATCCTGTCATGTTGTGAGGACTGTGGTCAAGGGTATAGTACTAATGAAGTCTTTCCTTCTAGTATCCTCGGCATGAACTACTGACAGCTCGGTTTTTAACGAGGAGAGGGATTGGGGGCGGGGGAGGAAGGAAGTTGAGATGGTATAGTAAAGCTAATCATGGCGAACGGGGAACTCAGACTAGACCAGTGAAGATACCTTTCTAACCTTGCCAAGTATTGCCCACAGAAGGTTAGCTATCAAAACAAAATACTGAAAATGTGTCCATGCAGACCAATTAGCAGAGCTTATTTACTAGAACTTGTTCCCTATACAGATGTAGAGGTGGTTTGGCAATAGAAGCCTGGAACTTCTTGATAGACAATGGTGTTGTCACCGGAGGGGACTATGGTGGCAAGGTGAGATGAAACGTGATTTTGGTATGTAACTGCGGCGATCTTAGAACAGATTTATCAATAGGACTGCTGCCGTCCTTACCCACTTCATCCATGCGGACATCATGGAAACGACACCTACTATGGGGAGTGCGACGGTACTGCACCGACTCCAAAATGCAAGAAAAGATGTCAATCAGCCTACAGAAAATCGTACACAATGGATAAGTTTTACGGTAAGAGCTGAATCAGAACTGAAATAAAACTCGCGATCAAGATGAATACACGTTGAGCCCATATTCAGAGGGCAGTGAGAAAACATCAATATCCATGAGAACAATTCTAGAAACTTCCGACCTTCAGTCGTAAAAAAAATCACAGGGAATAATATAAAATGTATTAATACGAAGTTCTTTTTCTATTACAACTTCGAGGTTATTACGAAACTATAAAATTGCTCTTTTTAGCGTAAGCTATCGGTAATAATTACAGATTATTCTTGATTGGATCCATGCAAAGTTCCATTTCGTTTTTTGAAAAGATAGTGTTTTTTACATACAGCTAATTTTTCGGTTTTTCTACTACTATCTTTGTTGAATGAACAATTTCGCCCTAAAACTACAGGCTTGCAAAAAAATGAGAAAAGATCTTATCCGAGTACGAACAATGTTTGCTGAGGTTAGACAATATTTGATAACCTTCACTTTCTTTCGCTACAAAAACTCGAGCTTATTGCAGAATATTGTACCCGTCTCCCCACAGATAGGTTTATTTCAACAAACACAACCGCGATTCAGCCACATTCCAATTGAGACTCAAATGAGTGGAGCCCATCCCCCAACTTACATGGGATCGCATGAGTAACAAGTTTCCAGAAAAGGTTATTGATACCAGACTGGCTAGCCTAAGAGGATAAAGGCACTGACTCCACATCAATTGGCCCACACATTTGATTGTATTGGGCCAGATGCGCATTCAAAGGTCACTTCGATTTTAAGTGCCATTTGAATGCGTGAGCTCATTCTGAAGCGGGATCGCCTAAGACTAACGCACTTTGGATCGCGTGCTATCAATTTTTCAGGGAAATACGCCTACCAACTACCGAACTCTGTAATAGCTATTCAAAAAGAAATCATGAGGAGTGGACCAGTTGTGGGCTCTTTCACTGTTTTTGAAGACTTCTCGCTTTATGTGAAAGGAATCTACAAGGTGGGTAATTTAAAATGTTTCCCTAACCAAGAAAGTGAAGACCAAAATTATAGGGATTTTAGGAATTTGCCCTCGCAGTAACTCATCAAATGCGGCACAGCCGAAATTTTGGGTAAAAAGTAATATAATAACAGCTATTTGTAGCATACCGGTGGTAAAATAGACGGCGCCCATTCCGTGAAAATAATTGGATGGGGAAAGGAGGGTGACACACCGTATTGGATCATTGCAAATTCGTGGAACGACGACTGGGGAGAGGATGGTGAGTCAGGTCGATTGACTTTGAGTTTACGATGCATATGGTAGGATTCTCAAGAATTCCATGGTTTTTCAACCAAAGCAACAATGTCATGATATAGAATTTCTAGAGTTCCGGTAACTTTGAATTCAATTTTAGTTCAAGGTTGCAAATATCAAGTCCAATACAAGACAATGAGCTTTTCAGTCTGCTCAAAAGCTAGTGATCAGTCCTACCAACTTATCCTACTAATACGATGTAGTTGCTCTAAAAGATTCCTAGTGTTGTGCTTGTGTAAATTAGGATCGATCAGAAACGGATTACGTTCCTTTTAAATGCGGATAGTTCACATGGAGTTTCACGAAAGCAAATGAAGTACCCAAGCACTACTTTGTTATATGTAGTAAAACAATCAAAATAACAGTCCAATGAAGATAATTTACCTTGTGAATCAACTGTTAAAAAATAGATGAAAAATGTAAAATAAAAAACTTAAATTTCATTCTACAGGTTATTTCCGCATGATTCGTGGAACCAATGAATGTGGAATTGAAGACACTGTAATCGCCGGAATCGTTCGTGCATAGCGACATCACAGAAGATCGCCCAGGGTTTAGAAACCAAAAAAGATGTTAATCATATATAAACCTGGGTTTAAATTAGTTGTTGTGAATTTAAATAATAGTTTGCAGTTTGTTTGTAAATTGTTTTGAATAGCCTCTGTTCTGTTCGTGTAGCAGGAAAGTTATCAAAGCCGTTTTAAAACTCTGGCCACCTAGTCACAAGTCTTGCAATTCGACATATGAACGTGTGTGTCATTGAATATGCACTGATATTCACTAACACACAGAATAACAAAGAGAATTTTCAATCCGTAGTAGTCTTTCGAGTGCTTGCAGTATAGCGAGAGATGTTCAACAATTTCGTTGGGCCTTTGGNTGTGGGCAATCAAGATGTTCCTCTCCAGTATGCAAGGTTGCTTTGAGCTCTACGGTAAGTTCACGGCTAAGATTTCGCGATTCTACAAGAAGTAATTGTCAAGGGGAAGAGAGGGTTTCAGTAGGGATGTCATCTCGCTCAAACTTTTCCGTGCCGCTGTCGGAAACATTATTCGCCATTCCGAATGGGAAGACTCAGGAGTGAATATCGACGATTTGTGGACGATTTCGTGCTTATTTATAACATCGAAAATCGAGCAGGTGGAACAAATGCGTGCCGAATTCTACAGCGCTGAGATCGGCGCTCGACTGAATCTGACGAACACGATTTTTCTGCGGGACGGACCTACCTAATGCTCCTTTCACGCTGAATGGAACGAACACCTCTGAATGGTTCAGCTAGGCCCAGAGGTCGATCTAGCACCGAAGCTGAGCTGAAGACACGTACGGTCTGAGGAGCATCTAAGAATGTCGAGGGCGTAGTGAAAAAGTCAAAAAACACCCGGCATCGCACTCACCTTCTCGACACAACGAATCTTCCTGCTTCAGCTTACGCCTCGGAGACTTGAACTATACGAAGGCAGTATTAACATGCAGTCACTCAACGTACTGTAGAATCAACAATGCTCTGAATTTCCTTATACATGCTGCAGAAGGAACCTTGAGCTCCGCTAACGGATGCCGTAGATTGCTCCGATGAATCGAAGGCCGAAATCGGCATGCGATATCCTAACGGCGGACCAGGGCGGTGTTGATTGGGTCCCTCGCAACGTTAGACGAACACTAAGACGGTCGTGAGCTCAACTACTTCACAAAAGTTGTGAACGAAAAGTGCTATGATCGTGTCCTTCGAGCAAAGACGATCCACTGGACTACTCTGGCTCCCAACAGGGGCGAACTGAGACGTCACTCGCGCCCATTGTTCCACTAACTGGCGTTTTCTACATGACAGTGTACGTGTGGGTGTCTTCTACCAGTATTCGAGAAAGACTGCTCAGTGAGTAAACGGAAATGTGTAATAATGAAGCGTTAGAAACCTCGGCTTCATCGAAGAAAAATTCCACACACTGCGCTTTCCTCGTTGGTGCCATTCACTTAGGAGTCCATAGAACAGCTCGAGCGATTCCTACTTCGGTGAATCGTGGAGACCTGTTTCTTTGGTACGACAAGAACTCGATTCGTTTTGACTGGCTTCTCTCACGGAGAGGATAATGCAGAATCTCTGTGATCTCTCGAGGTTCCTACGAAGCATTAATAGCTGTCAACCAATTAAGAGGGAAATCAAGGGACGCTGATACAGGGTGATGATCGTTCAGTGACTTGGGCTGGAAGTGTCCGATAGCGTCACTTCGGAAAGGATCAAATCTCGGAATCGGAATGGCTTCTAAATGAAAGCCGTTTTTTCAGCGCTTCCCACCATGTAATCGGTAAATGTCATATCTTGACCATATCACTTTTTTCAGACTCTGTTTTCTGGTGTACATATCTTCTAGACTTTGACCAGCCAAAAGCAATCGCTTGCAAGCAAAAGACCTGCAACGAAGTGACGACAGAAGATCGATACTTTTTGTCTCATTCTCACTAACGAAATTCCTTTTAGTGATAGGAGGCTAATCAATCAGGTCAACACAACAAAAACTGCATGAACAGCTTGTAATCACGCGGCAGCCTAAAAAAGGTACATCAAAAATTTCCGTCCGACATTTAGCTATTAAATGTGATTACTGTTAGCCCACATAGATCCAATGAAAACTGTATTTTGCCGAATCACGATCGGAACTCAATCTCATTCGCTACCAAACTTTATGATTTCAGTGTCCGTAAATGTGTTGTTTGACAACTTACTGACGCTTGGAATAACTGTGCGTTGCCTGTTCTCCAGGAAGGGAAGGTTAAAATAAGATCGAAATAAAAGTATGGGTGCATGGTTTAAGCTACTTCTTACTCAGAAAACGTCCCTACTTTGGGAATATGTATTCAGCATCAGCCGCACTAGTTTTTCCCCACTCAATTCTTATCAGAGAGGGAACCATTCTCTTAGGACAGCTGGTTTAAACAGATGTTGACGTAACCACGAAACCTTGAATTATGGTGAGTTTCCCCTTATTTTAAATGTTCATTCCTATGTGAATCGTGTATGGAAACTGATAGTTTTTTAAGAATCACTTTCTGACTGCATTCTGCATCTACCTATGCTGGGAGACTGCCAAATCCAAAGCAGAAATATTTGGTTTGTTTTTAATTTCAATTCAAATTAATTTAATTTCAATATAGAATTCAGTTAGCAAAAGAAAGATAATTTCAACAAACAGGGGATCCCAAAACCGATGAAATTCCTCTGGAAGCACAGAAGCTCAGTGGTGAACCGCTAATCAAATACCTCAAAGAAAATCAAAATCTTTTTGAAGTATGGTTTTCAATGAGAATGCTTCGCTTTATTGGCGATAAGGTTTCCTAATATGAAAGCCTACGATTGCAGGTAGGACCGGCAAGGCATGATTACAAGCTCAGATTGATGGACATAGGATTTATGGATAAGAATAGGAAGCCTGTTGTCGAAAACGAGGAACCAGATGACGACATTCCAGAGAGGTTTTTATAACTATGTATAGCGTCTCTGATCTGACAATAGAAGTATTAACTACGAAACACCCACTTACCCACTTTTGGACAATTTTGTTATTGAAATTTTCAAATATTGCTGTATGCTGCTTGAGTAACCCTTACTAGTTGGTACTACCCAAGCTACCATACAGCTCTAAACATAGTTGACCAGCATTAACCGTACCTTTGTATGGATCAGTTTCAGCGGGCGTATGGCAGCCCATACTATACGAAGTAGCAACATGCTCCTAAGGTCACGTACAATTTGGAATGAACTCACTTAAGAAAATGTGTCCGCCTATAAATTTAGCATAGTTTGGGTTGAACTCCACTCCTACGAGCAGGGAATATGCACAAGGCAATAACTAGCCAAACCAATCCATAAAACAGACTCCATTCATCGAAAAAAGCCCAGCCACCTAGTCTTTGTCCTAGCCATAGCCTCTTCCTAAGGAGCCGATGTTGGGTTGTCCACTGATGAAATTCTTTTTCTTTCCCAGATGGATTTTTCTGAGAGATAAACACCGGAGCACTTTTGCTCAAACTGGAGTTAATATGTAGGAATTTCCTCCTATTTGTTATATTTTTAGTGTTACCATGAAAAGTTAAACAACTGATCGAGGTTTTCCGTTATGATTCAAAAGGGGACGGGAGTGGAAGCTCAGTCCAGGTCCACCTTAGAGACCGTTCCGCGACGGGAACTATAACACCATACCATACCTCCTTTGGTTGAATGATACAAATCAGTATATATATATATATATATATATATATATATATATACGCTTTGCCTGACCTGTGCTGCATTGCGTGGTTCAGTGGCTTATTTCGTCCTCTTGTTCACCCTCTTCTGGGCTACCAGCCGAAGTCTTCTTTTCGGTATTAGACCAACTCCGAATACAACAGCTCCTCAGTTGACCAATAAGTCTTCCCACTGATTGCGGAGTTCGCTTGCACTTCGATCTTCGTGTCTCAAACTGCAATAGAGTTCGAAGCTAAATGAGTGGAATAATTAAGCACAGGTAGTTGGGGATCTAACCGTTTAGGTGAGATACACTTAAGAGCCTCGATAAATTGAACCGTTTCTGACGGAAGGACTATCACAACTAGGACGCGAGGCAGTGAGATGGAAATGTTAATTTACAGAGAAATCGAGCAGTATATAACATATAACGAGAAACTTATGAGCTCAACTTTTGCTCCTGATGGATTTCTCTAATCTGAGTGATTATAAGAGATCATAGACAAAAAGTACAGTAATGGTCATATGGAGTGTTTCGCTATGTACATTTCATAGCAGACCCCCCTAAAGACTCGCTGCATGGCTCGCTCAAAAGTGCGGTAACTTTTTCGCACAGGGCGTCTATTTAGAAAATTTTGCCTACGAGTCCTGTTCTTTGCGATTTTAAACTTTAAAATCTAAATTAGAATAGCTAGAAGGATGAATTAGAGAGTTTACAAAGAGTGTAGAGTCCTTTCCAGTCGAAAAAGGGATGATTCTGAAGAGAGAACTTTCGAAAAGAAGAAATGACATTACTTCGCTCGTATAAAGAATCACTGAGGTTCTACCTAATTTTTACAGTTTTGATGGCCGAGAAGTGTGGGCTAATTGCTCGTCGCTCTCTTACATACGTGACCAATCCAACTGCGGTGAACAACTTTCTAGCAAATTCCCGCAAAGCCCTGGAAGTACAATAGAAAAATAATCCGCAAATCTTCAGGTTCATGTTGGGCCGTCGCGACGGCATCCGCAATTTCGGACCGTATTTGCATTTTGACTAAGGGAGCCATGCAGGTACAAATGAGCCCATAATTTGAAAAATTACACAGACCTTATGGAATAAAATTGCAGGTGACGATCTCAGCTACTGACATCTTATCCTGCTGCGAATACTGTGGTTTCGGGTACATTTTTTACCTAATTATGTTTTCCTAAAAGTTTACAAGGCTAAATCTTATACGTAGTGAGTAAATGAAATATTATTTATGAGACTCGTCTAAAAAAAAAACAGGGCTGACAACTCTCAAAATGTATGAGGTAGAAACAATAGGGTAGCATCGGTAGAATTAATTATGTATAAAAGAAGATGGAACGAGACCATGAAGTTAAGGCATCGAACGTGAAAAAATGGGGTCCTGTCGGTTAGCCGACGATAATGATTTCTCCAGAACGAACGACAAGAAAGATCAAGTTGAATAATACGTATAGCACCTCTACGCATTTCTTTTTAATTCAGATGTAGGGGTGGCTTCACAATTGAAGCTTGGAATTACTTTACAGAGGAAGGTGTCGTTAGTGGAGGAAATTACGGCACAAAGGTAAGTTAAAAAATCTTCTTTTACGATTTATGGAAATTCTGTGAGGCTCAGCGTTAGGGATGCTGTCAACCTTACCCACTTCCTCCATGTGGACATCATGAAAACGAGACCTTCTACTATGAGTGCAACAAAGAGGCAGCCACTCCAGAGTGCCAGAAGAGATGTCATCCGGGATACAGAAAGTTGTACAGAATGGACAAGTTCTACGGTATGTAGAGAGTTATTATCAAGGGGATTTCTAAATCAAACAAACATATGCTTTAATGTACTGGATAATTGTAAAGGTCACAGTCTCAGTCGACATGCTGAATTTGCAAGGAGCAGTATAGGGAGAGGTTCCCTGCCTAATTTCAAGGAGAGAGCTCGTGTCTTCCCGACGTAACAGAAACATAACTCGGGACAACTTTATTACATAGATTAGTGTAACTAGGCCAAACGCATTCTCATTGGTGAAGTATAGACCTATGTAGTCGTGAAACGATCCCTCACCAATTGTTTCTTTTGTGACTCCTCGGCAAAGCAAAATTCGTACTTTTTTCCCCGGAAAGAGCAAGTACGGGTTCGAGTCCCGTCGGAGACTGCAGTTTTGCCCACAAATCGCCAACCTTGTGAGCATTCGTATTGCTCGGATTTCCTTTTGTCTGGGTGTGTCAGAGGCCTCCAGAATAGTCCAAGATCCCTTTCAAGCATACTTCTTTCTTGAGGTTCATATGTGATGTAGGATTGATTTCAGGCAAGGGTGCTTATGAATTACCAAATTCTGAGAAAGCTATCCAGAGAGAGATTATGAAGCACGGACCAGTTGTTGGTATGTTCAGGGTATTCAGTGATTTCTACAATTACGAATCAGGAGTCTACAAGGTAAGAGCCTTGATGAAATAATTTTAATCATTTCCATGGAATCGAGGATCTGCTTTACATACCACTCTTTTTCCCCTCATAATTAAGCCAACTGTTCAGTGACTTCCCTTCTGGGAACAGAGAAAGTACATCGACAACGTTTCGTTTGCTTACAGCACACAGCCGGATCGCAAGAAGGTGAACATGCTGTAAAGATAATCGGATGGGGAAAGGAAAGAGAAACGCCTTACTGGCTTATTGCTAACTCATGGCACCATGACTGGGGAGAGAAAGGTAAGTTTCTGGACTGATGTGTTTGAGTTGCGAGATGTCCAAGGCCAAATAGTGATCGGGCCAAGTAGGAAGCGGACTGCTTAAATTTTGATACCACTAGGCATGAATCCAGTACTAAAGAATATCATTATTTGCATCTTGATTAACCGTATTACAGGTTTTTTCAAAATGCTTCGTGGAAGCAACCACTGTAGAATTGAAGAGCTGGTCGTCGCTGGACTTGTCGACGACGACGTGACTAGAAGCCTATGAAGCCAGCTTGAACTGAATATTAGAGTTTATGCACGTACAATACAGATGTGGTACATTCTGATCGCGATTGGAATGTGACCTGCACTCAATTGTCAGTTGGATAAATTGCTTGACTTCTACTTACAGATTGTAGGCGCTGTTACAGACAAGTCTTCTCCAGACTCTTTCTAGTCTAGCCACGATAAAAAGTCCTCATTCAGTAAGAGATTTGCTCGTTTTTATAGTCACATGAGGGTTTACCATGTGACATCATACGAATTCACTGATAATGGTGCGTCCATTCTTTTTGCATTTTATAATGACCCAAAAAAACTATATGGAATCAATGATTATGGTATTAATGAGATACAGATAGAACCATGAGACCCTGTACACATACGAATTCTTTGTGCCACCACGGACGGAAAAAAGAACACTGCCATCTTAATCTAATCAAAACAGCCAAAGACATACTCCATAGAAGTTTCTAGAACTTTTTGCTTCACATCCTGCATTATAAACCTTTGCCCCGAACAATTTGGAGTAAGCACTAACCTAAAACTAACATCTTTTAGATCACGGGGCTCGGAAATGTTTCACATTGCCAGATTCTGTAGCATTAAAAACTAAAAACTCTGGGAGAGACCTATAAAAGGGTATCTCAGGGGACAGGTTCTGGAACTGTGGTTCATGGAGTTTTGAATATAATAGGAAGAACTTCGATATCAGGGAGTCGATGTATGGTGTAGTCGCGCGAAGTGAGGCAATATGGCTCGAAGCTCAGAAGCTTGCCTTTTTACACTGATGGTCTGTCCCCCAGCTCTGAACCCTTACAGTGGCATACCCACGCCGTGATATTTACGAAAACCAAAGTTTTCTCCATGTCATGATATGCCGATTCAATTACGCCGTGCTCTCGTGTGAATCCAAAAGTCTGCACTACTTATAATGACAGCGTTCCTTTTGAACAAGCTACGCCTAGCAACAACTGGACTACAGCAACTTTTCTGTTCATTCCTACCTCAAGTAAACATATAGAAGAGAAAGTCTGGCCCGGTTGTTAGTATTAATGGTGTTAGGGTAATGTTCTTTTTCGCGAAGCCAGGAACGTCTTTCGCTACACTACAATAATCAAAAGTAATAGAGTCACGAGGTGTGCGAACATCAAGCGTTGCTCAACGCTCAAAGAACATCTGATACATGGTGTCTATTAAGTTTTTGGTATCCACTCTATGAATTGTTCTCATTCTCTTCTTATCATGTTATCAGAACTATTACGGAGCTTTTTACGAAAGGTGCCCATACCAAATATAAAACAGGTAACGACATTATGTAATAGCCCAAAACGATGGTGAGTTAATTCGTTGTAATTAGAAAAGATTCTCTCATATTTAGTGATTAGTCGACAAGGATTACATGTTCCAGAAGTACTTACTGCTAGCCCTCTGCTTCTGTCTATCAAGGTCAAAACCCCCTTCCGAAGCAGAAGTACTTGGTTAGCCTCCATTTCTGCAGTGACACAGAGTAAGCAAGAAATATCTACAGAGTTAAACGTTCTCGTTTTCAGCTGCCCTTAAGGCTCAACAAGTTCCTCCTGAAGCTCGATTGCTTAGCGGTGAAGCTTTAGTTAAATATGTCAACGAGAAGCAAAACCTATTCAAGGTAATTCTGTGTTAACGTCAAAAACTCACCTCATGATTTCTCATTTACAGGCTGAACTAAAGCCGACAAACAAATACTTGAGGTACAAAGTAATGGATTTGAAATTTGTGCAACAAAATATGAAACCTGTTATTGAAGACGAAAACGACCCTGGTGATGACATCCCAGAAAGGTCAGTATAACCTATGCAAATCATTGACAGAGTCTCATGGAACCTTAGCCTATGGGACGACGCAAGAACTAGCAGCTGCGAGACAAGCCTCCGGACTATGAACGCCCTGCCTAAACTTATTGTAGCGTTAATCAGAAAATCGTTGATAGCAAAATTCACTGGTAATTAAATATTTTCTGAAAGACTCAGCGCTGTATACATGACTTTACCCGTGTGATAAAATCAGGGGGCTTCTACCTAATCATCTAATGAAAATCTGAGGTGATGGAGTTCTGGATCTCAAAAAAGCCTTCAGTAGTGGAAGGGATAAAGAGCAGGTGCAGGCAGAAGCACAAGCACAAGTCTAAAGCACAAGTACAGGCAGGATCCCGACCGAGGTAGAAGTTTTGTACGTAACTCCGACCTTGTGCTACTAACAGCATACGAAGAAGGTTTACGCATGAACTTCGGTGCTGCAATGCTTCGGTCTGGCAGGGTGGGCTGAAAGTCGAGCAGCTCTGATCCAGCAGTAATAAAGAAATATCATTTGCAGTTTCGATGCGAGAACTCACTGGCCCAACTGTTCTTCAATATCTCACATTCCTGATCAAGCAAACTGCGGTAGGCAGCTTTTGTTGAAAACTTAAAACTTTCTAAACACGATGAATATCAAAAAATGCATCAATGTGACAGGATCATGTTGGGCAGTCTCAGTAGCAGGTGCAATATCAGATCGCATTTGTATTGCTACCAAAGGGGCCGTACAGGTACAATTATTCGTTTGGTTATTATTGAATTTCCTACTTGCCATTAATTCAGAATTGCAAATCAATTCCAGGTGAAAATCTCAGCCACTGACATTTTGTCCTGCTGTCCGCTTAGTTTTGGGTGAGTATGGTTCTATAATTGTATATCGATGCTCTCCAAAGATTTTATCGGCGCAAAGGTTACACTCTTTCTTTGAAAACCTATCCAACTTTGCTAAACTCTCCTAATAAACTGTTTGAAGTTGGAAATCACCGCTATGGATGTGAGTTTTCATGGTACTTTGTAGACAAAATTCGTCCTGCTCATTACCCACTGGGTGCAAGAGGCGGCGTCTAAGCAGCCGACAATCAAAAAAACCATACAATGGTGGGTCCCCGGAGCCTCTCAGGCAGAACGTTCTTGCAAGCGTGAATGCAACGTGCAACGTTCAGGACTCGTTCTAACGCTTTGATGGCTGTAGAAATGAATAGAAAGACCACAAGGAGGATTTATTCAATGTGATCGTTCATATTCGAGCTTTTCTTTAGTGACGGTTGACTTATTGTTAGCAGCTACGCTTTAATTCCTATTCCATTATAGCATTATAAAATACAAGCATTGGAGATGCACAAGATTAAAGACTCGGTTTTTTTCATCATATTGCGAATAAGGTATTATCGGATAAATATCATGTGCGTTTTCAGATGTGAAGGTGGCTATCCGTTCGCAGCTTGGAACCACTTCGTAACAAAAGGTGCTGTTACGGGAGGATATTACGGCACAAAGGTAGATTCACAGCAGTACCCCAAAAACATAATGATGATCCCAGAATAGAATTATCGATAGAAATCCTGCCGTCCTTACGAACTACACCCATGTGGACGTCATGGAAACGATACATACTATGGCGAGTGCAAGGAGCAGCAGGCGCCAACTCCAAAGTGCAAGAGAAGATGTCGGCCGGGCTATAAGAAATCATACACAATGGACAAAATATACGGTAAGCATAGGATACAGATTCAGTACTACTTAATTTATTGATGTTCATGTGTTACACGAGGCGAAGGTGGTGTAGTGGCAAGTGGCGGACTATGAAAGCAGTCTATGTCACACGCACGGTGAATCCCCGATCGCTATCCGCGTAGGCCAACCAAGCCTCAAATCCCTCCGGGGTCAGTTAAGTGGTACCAGACTCGTCTGGGGGTGGAAAGTACTGATCTGTACATCGGACGGCCACTGCAACTCACTTTATAGGCCACATACGCATTTATTACGCCACTACGATTCTGAATAGAAGTCGAGGGAGTAACCCTCAGACGGTATTGGTTAACGGCGAGAGAATTTGTCCTTCAATTGGTCCTGCCATGGTTGAGGTAACCTTCTGTGGTAGTTTTCAACTGAGCCTCCGATATTGATAACAACATCTTTGATGGCGACTGACGTTTCGGCTAATTCACCTTCATCGGAACATTGACCTGAATGGGCTAGACTATATGTTACTCATTTGAAATGTAGGCATGGAATCACACTACTTTCTCTGTTTCCTTATTGTCGCGTTGATGAGCGAATTCCTCGAGCGGGCTCTAGTAACGGCTTCATTCGTTCCTGTCGCGAGCCAGAATTCAATGGATTGTTCCCGAGAGATATGTCGCGAGTCAGAATAGTCCAGTGGATTGTCTTCGTTTGAGATATACAAGGCATGGCATTTCTTTCGTAAAGCTTCGTTGAAAAGCCCAACCACTGCACTGGTTGCCGTCATGGTGTTCGTTTAACTTCTCAAGAGATCTAGTAAAGAACCGTCATGGTTCAACGGTCATCACATATCGTATGACGTTTTCAGTCCACCCAATCTTTGAAACACTTGTGTAAGCAATGACGTACCTGATCTTCGTTCGTTGACAGAGCTCACTGCTCCGGATTCCTTCCCGTACTAGCATGTACCAGAAAACTTCAAGCATCGCCCTTTCCATAGAGCGAATAATAACGCTGGCTGCTTAATTTTCCCATAGACCAAATCTCCGAGGCAAATGTCAACGCAGGAAAGACCTCTACTTTGTATCGATCGATCTTCCCTGATTCTGCCCGGGAGTTTCTTTCGGCGAATCCATTTACGGTACAAGCCGTTTATTTGAGCAAGCGGACGTGGCTGTTGAAGAGATCAGCGTAGAATCCATGAATGGTTTTTCCAACGCGCCTCGAGGCGCAGTAAGTGTTCCGTCAGAAAAGTAAAGAGGAAGTCACAGTTGTCTCATGGGCATTGCAAATGCTCCTTCCAGTCTCGGCGATTGGCAATTTGTAGACTCTCCTTTTCTCTGTCAATAAAGAGAAGATGTTCGACAATCCGGTTATATTCCTTGACGATGTTGACGAGAACGGAATTTTTCCGTTGAACTCGCAAGAAAAGCGAAGTGACTCCAATTGATGGAGGCCTTATGACTTCATTCCTGAACGAAAAAGGAGTCCAGCGCAGAGTGATTGATGGTACGGTACGATCCCGTGTGCAACAGTCAGGTAAAAATTTCAACTTTCTCGAGTCGTGACATCAACTTGTGTTTATGCGTAGCCAATGAGGATTGTTAGAACTGGTGTTGAGACACACCACACCTAATCGCAAACGTCCCACACAGTTGATCGAGCTCTCGCACGAACCGATGTTCATGAACGAGTACGCGATGACAAGACCCATGAACTGCCGACGTCTCCACTGAAGCATGTCATAAAGAACCGTTTTCTCCATTATTGAGAACAGCGTGCAGCTGGCCTTCCCCTCTCAGTTAGCCCAATTACGCATGTGCCATTAGAGCTTCGATACACGCTCCCGATGCAAATGTTCAAGTGCGTGCGTCGAAATACTGGTTACCCTTCCAGTACTCCTTCTTTTATTCGTCCCTGAGATTCCAGCGTTCTCTTATGTTAGTGTTCTGCACAAGCGTGCTTACGAGGCTCTAACGTAAAAGGCTTAATTAACTTTAGATGACTGGCCAGGCTCAGTTACTGGAGGCGGCTTCGAATCAGGTTCTGAATTACTAATTACAATAATACGATTGCAAGTTTCTTGCTGAGCCAATGTGCAAATACCAACAGCATTCGCAGATTCCCCACTCACGTGTTTATGAATACATCTGCTGGAGACAGGATGTATTAAACGACCCAGAATAGCATAGACAGGAACTCTAACCCTGAATCCACCTGCGTCTCTGAGCAGGTAACGATGACTTTTAGTTTGCGATTCACATTTCTGTTCTCCAAGTGGCGTCATGGAGAGTAGACTAGTCAGTAACCGGCTGGAAATTTCTCGATGAGAGAGAATCCTTAACGTGGAAGATCATAATACTTACTGAGAAAAACTCGAACATTAGAGAAAACATCAGACGAGAATGTCATAACCCCAGGTGGAGGACAAGAAAATGAATCGCGGACGAAAAGCACCGGTACTTTCTCAGTGGCACAGGTAGATCCAGGCATGGAAATCTCAGATATATCTCATGAGTAGTAGAAAGTATCTCCGCTACACAACCCCTCTGAAAGCACCAATTTTTCCTAAGAAGTACGTCAAAACTTTCCCGAGTGGAGTTTGTATCAGAAGACTGAAATAATCAAGACCAGCTGCTCAGGCTATGGATTCTGAGCTTTTATTAATCTTATAACTATGAGGTTGATGCAAAAGTATTGCAGATTTTTTTCAGAAAATTTTACTTGAAGAAACGATAGAAATATTTAGCAAAGACATGCTCTAATACTTACTCCGGAACATATCCACCAATTACGTCGGGCACTGCTTCCCATTTGATATGCAGTCGAATTCCCAGGCAAAGAAGTTTTGTTTCTTGGAGGGGATCCACGCCTTGTCGTCGGTCACCAAGTCATCCATCTCCTCAAAAGTTCTGTTCGCTGACCTATTTCTCAACGGTTGACGTGATGATCCATAGGTGCTCCTGCTGTAGAATAGGGCGACCCTGGAGCAGATTCCATTCTTTATTCCGGTTTGGCTGACTGTTCCATTATCGAGAAGCTCGTTGAGATCACTTCACGACTGTGCCACCTTCGTACCTTTCTCTGAAGTAATAGAGCATAATGTGACGTATATGAAGATGACTTCCTAGACATATTTCTGTTGAGAAAAGCAAGAAGATTATTTCTATTAAATTTCGAATTCACTATTCAAATGGTGTCGAGGGAAAAGAATCCGCAATAATTATGCATCAACCTACTATATGCACTTGATTTAATCTATCGAGCTTTGCATACTGAACGTTCAGTTTTTAGGCAAAAACTACTACGATA